AACCTACAAAAGAGAAGACCTTTCCTCTGTATTTCTCCTAATTGGTGTATCCTCTGTAGAGCTCATGGTGAGGATTGTTACCACATATTAATATCTTGTCCCTTTTCTGCAGACCTTTGGGCTTGGCTACTTTCATTATTTGGGAGTAGTTGGAGTCTACCAATAGAAGTTCACATGCTTTTCAACCATTCTACCTTTTATTGGCCTACAAAAATAGGGAGAATTTTGTGGAGATGTGCTTGTGCTGCCTTGATTTGGACCCTTTGGGAAGAAAGGAATATTAAAATTTTTCAACAAAAGGAAATGAGCAGTCAGGAATTGAAAGACTGTGTGTTAAATAGGGCAACACCTTGGTTGAAAACCTTGGAAATCTTTCATCAATTCTCCTTTAATGACCTTTAGAGAAATTGGTCAACAATAGCGAGGTGTTCATCCCTAAAGGACAAATCAATTACAAGCTGGTCTCCTCCATCTGAAGGCTCACTGAAGTTGAACTTTGATGTAAGTAGCATGGGTAATCCAAGATTATCCAGAATGGGGGGTGTTTTGAGAAATGAGAAGGGAGAGATTTTGTTGCTCTACTCAGGTCCCATTGGGAATTGGGGACTCCATTAGGGCAGAACTTTTAGCTGTTGTACAAGGGGTGCAATTTGCAAACCAGTTGAGGGTACAACACCTAACAATCAAGGGGGATTCCAAAGTGGTGGTGGGTTGGTTGAAAAATCCTGAAGAGGCTATGTGGCGTTACAAGAATGAAATGAAGAAATTTAGTTGGTTGACAATGAATATGTTGGTCACTGTACAGTGGGTGGGGAGATTAGCAAATACTTTGTCAGATGTGTTAGCTAAGCAAGGGGTAAATAGGGAAGAATTGTTTTGGGCTCAGTTGTGATTCTTGCTTTTCTTTCCTAGTTTACTTGTAAGATTCAAGGAGAGGCTGTAGCTCGCGCCTCCCTGGGATGTTGTATGAACTCGCTCTAAATTTGCTTCTGAATTAATAAATTTATTATCATTCATCAAAAAAAAAGGGAGACTGACCATCAAGAATGGACATAGGCATTCGATTAATAAGGAAACAAGATGTAAGTACAACATCACTCTAGAAATGTTTGGTACATTCATATGGTGCAAAAGGGACCGAGCAGTTTCTAAGAGGTGGCAGTTCTTTTGTTCAGCTACCCCATTTTGTTGAGGGGTGTAAGTGCAATACTACAAAAGGTTTGATGAATAATACCATGTTGTTCTAAATATTGCTGAAAATGTGTATAAAAATATTCTCGGCCATTATTAGAACATTGGATCTTAATATGTACACCAAATTGAGTGTGAATTACAGCATGAAACTTTAGGAAGATAGAAAATAATTCACCCCTTTCTTTCATAAGATAAAGCCATGTCATCCTTGAATAATCATCAACAAAAATAACAAAGTACTTGTAACTATTGTTTGACACTATTTTATTTGGACCCCAAATGTCCGAATGGACCAAAGATGTTTCCCATACTGACACGACTCACAATCCAAAGTAAAATGACGACTCAATGCTGGAACAAGTAGCTTAAGAGCTTTAAGAGATGAATGACCAAGTCTGCAGTGCCACTGTATAGGAGAAAGAGACGACTGAAGAGTTGTTGACGAACCACCACCACCATTAAGATAATACAGTCCACAAGCTTCATGCCCTCCACCAATCTTCATCCTCGTCTTGACATCTTGAAAAACACAAAATGAGGGGTAAAATGTGATAGAGCAATTAAGGGACTTGATTAATTTACTAACAGACATAAAATTAAAAGGAAATTTGGAAACATACAAAACTGAAGACAAAGATAGTGAACCAGTGTTAACATTACCAATAACACATATGGAAGAAGTGGAACCATTAGCAAGGGTAACAGTGTGGGTTGTAGAAGATGAAGAAAGAGAAGAAAGCACACCTAGAGTCCTAATCATATGATCGGAAGCTCCAGAGTCAATGATCCAATGGGAGGGTTTGGATGCCAAACAAGCCATACCTGAGTGGGCAAGCATAGTTGTATTCTGTTGAGAAGTAGCCTGGAGCAACTGCTCATACTCATCACGTGGAACACTCATCATTTCTTTCTCGAAGGCATCTATAGATGTAGGAGTTGTTTGATCGGCTTGCTGAATTTCTTGTCTCATACCACCACCACTAGCCACTGCATGATTTGCCCAGGTTGAAGGTAGGCCATGTAGATCATAACAAAAATTGATAGTATGTCCTTCCATACCACAATGTGTACACCTTCTCGGACCATTGCTATGTCCTCTACCATGGGCTCCCCCTAAAACTCAACCTCCAATATGCCCACCACCACGATTGTACATGTGTCCACCACCACCACCACTGTACATGGGTCCACCACCACCACCACGACCAGGCTGAATCTCCCGAGTTCCTCCTCTACCACCATGACCTCCCCCTCTTGTCAATGCAAAAGCAAACCTATCTACTATGGTGGAGTTCTCCGTAGGTCCAACTGAAATCCTCCGGAGACAAGCAAACACCTCTTCAAGAAAGGGAATGGCTGACCCACCTAGTATTTGTGCTCTCACTGGTTCATATTCAGACTTCAATCCCACTAAAAATCTGGTTACATCAATTTGTTCTTTCTGTTGTTGCTGAATGTTGACATCAGATGTAAGGGGGTGATACACATTCAACTCATTCCTAAGATTCCTCAGGCTAGCATAGTACTCCTCAAGACTTTGATTACCCTGTTGCAGATTAAAATACTCTTGGTAGAGCTAGTATACTCTAGTAGTATTGTCTTGTCCTAAGTAAAGCTTCTTTGCATGATCCCAAATCTCATTGGTTGCGTCTAAGAACATGAAATTCACACTAATCTTAAGTTCCATGCTATTCCATAACCAGGTCATAATCTGTGCATCTTCTTGCTCCCAGTCACTATAGTCTTGAGAATCAACTGAGGGTTTATCTTCTCTCACATTATTCACATTCTTCTTAGCTTTGAGAAAAACTTCAACAGATTTAGCCCAAGATACGTAATTCTCTCCATTTAGTTTAATAGAGGTCTCTGCACATTCAAGTAATCAAGGGGAACCATAACAGATTTGTGTTCACTACTGTCTCCCATAGCTGCCATAAAAAAAAAAAATCTCACACTAATATGTCACCCTACCTTACTAATGATCACCACACTACACTCCTACGGTTGACTATTGCTGAAACATTTACTGTCACAGGTTTCAGCAATGATAATCACCACTCCACTCCATTTTCGACACCACAAAAATCACCCACATACACTTCACACACGTGATACTAGGTCGGCAACACATCAGAAATTGCTTCCCACCCATTATAATCTCATGCAACCCACCTATTTGAACCACACAAGTCAGACTCAAACCCGTCAGACCACTATACTACTGTAAACAGCCCTCTTTGATACATCGATTAGAGGGTTTTCTACCAACCACCACAACACAACCAACCAGAGGGATTAAAACCTCCAGAAGAAAAAAACAACCACTCCTTTTTAGCCTTTTTGTCAAACTCCAAGTGACCGAATAGAAATATGCAAAAAACTAGATTGGGAGGTGCAAAAAACTGGGCAGATCTGAACTGATTTATTATAGCTCTGTTACCATGATAAAGTTCAGATCTGTATATGCTTCAGTTTCAAAATAAAAGAATTAAAGAGAGAAAGAGAAGAAGAGAAGAGAGAAGAGAAGAATAGGTAGAAGGAAAGGCTGGTTCGAACTAGAGAACACACCTCTCTCTAGTCGGCCAGATTTATTTATAGTTTTCTAAACAAAAAAACACAATGATTATTGTGCCCCCACTTAAGTGTGGGGCACATCAGTTAACTTAGAATATAATAGTAATTACGTCTAGCACATAACATAAAGTAAAAAGGCTAGACTACCCTTCTATAGCCGACTCTAACAAAGTTTAATAAAGTATTGTTACTTGTCAAAAAAGCATATTGGCAGTATGGTTGTTGATTGGATTTTGGAACTTCCAGAATTTTCAGATGCTTCCAAAGCTTCTTTTGGATCAAAATTTTAGGTCTACCCTTGATATGGTCTGATTCTGCATTCAGTTTTTTTTTTCTTTTGTATCGTATCCAGTTGGGGTCTACTCTCTTTTATTTGTTCTTTGACTGTAATTTCTGATCTTTTCTGGGTTGGTCAGGTTGCAGCTCTTTGCGTGCTGTCTCATCACCCTCTCACTAATTGTACTCTTATTTTTATTTAAATATTGCTTTATTTTGATTTACTATCAAAAAAAAAAGGAAATAGATTCTGAAAAATAACCTGTTCATAGTTTTCCACTTCAACAGGAGTGGTAAAAGTTGAACATTATGACGAAGTTATTGGGAAAAACCATAAACCATTACCACAAGGGGCGATTGCTTGGTGCAATGGTAAAATCTCTGGCTGCCAAGCATGAGAATGAAGATTCATGCAGTAGTAAAATCTTAGACCAAAGGTTAGGTCCATATCCAGTCCACACCTCTCAAGACCCCAGATAGCCAGGACCAATATTGGGCAGTGGCCCTTTTATCATAAGCATTATTATAACTGTAACCATGTGTACTTGCTTTATTTTAATTTATATTGTATTTACCTTTATGTTCATGCTGAAAGAAAAAGACCTAGTATGAAGCAAAACATGGTTTTTGATAGTTGCAGATGCATCCTAATTAACAAGAGTGTAATATATTTTCCTGTTTTTTCTACCTTCATCTCTGTCTGTGTGAGAAAAGGCTGCCCATCAGGATCCCGTGAAAGGTGAACTTTCTGCCCCCTGGTCTCCCCAGCATTAATCCATTCAGTGCTCACATCAGGATCCATCCACATCGCTTCCATGTCCTTAGGATCAATACAGTCATCCCAATACTTGAAACTTATAGCCATGCTATTAGGTTACCAAATGTTTTTATGGCATCTAGAAACAGAAGAGAGTTATTTTCAATATTCCATGAGACATGAACTGGCACTAAGAAATGTATGGTTGAAATGAACATACGCATCACAGAAAAAACATAGTATACTTGCATCTGTAAACTGCTCACAATTACTTCTACAAATTATCAACCAAAGTAGTCAACGAGTAGTGAAAAAGAACAGCTTCGTATTGGAGCTTTCATCTACGCTTCTAACTTCCATCAGAAACTCAAAATTTGGCAGGCTACCATGTTTTCTCTTTCCAAACAGCACCTACAAAAGGTGATCTAACCAAATAAGTGAACCTAGACAAGAGAACTAAAGAAGGGAAGGTATATAAAATAGAAAAATGCATAAAACAAATGGAAGTTGAATCCTTAAATCTTATTAAAATTAGTGGTGAGCTGATATGGAGTTGTCAAAACATAGGGATCACATCAGATGGTCAATGTATAAGATTTCTTTCAAAGGCTTTCAATCCCTATCTCAGCCCATCCAGCCTTCCTCGTTATGTAAAATGAAAACCGTTTACTATTTGATAATCACTAAAATTTCTCTATCCCTTGAATATTTACTGAAACCTCCCATATTACAGACATGGTGTTACTTTGGTAAGCTTTAGTGACAGAAAGATCATTAAAAAAATAATACCCCTTTACCGATTGAACAATCACAAGTGATCATATTTTTAAATGACCAAAATACCTACCACATGTTTAGTCTACCCACTTGCTCCTTAATTGAAAGAGAAGATAGCCATTGTTGTGTGGGTAATCAGGTTATTTGAGGGGCATTCTTGTCCTCTTATGTTTTTTTGTTACCAAGGGGCTTAAATGTAATTTATGTAGTCCAATATAATTTCAAATGAAAGGGGTAAATCCCCAACTTCTCTCTCTCAACTCCAAAACACTCTCTTCTAATGTTCTCTCTTCTCTCTTCTCTCTTTTTCTCCATTTTTCTTCCTTCTCAAAAAACTTTGTGGTATCAAAGCACCCCCTAGTGGGGGGTTTGACTTACAAGAGCATGGATGACTACTGACGTCAGCAGGCTGTATGATCGGCATTTCTATCAATCTTGGAAATCCTAGTGTTTGGTCAGGTATGATTTTAGACAAATTTTGATGAAGGTTTCATACTTGTTGCCGTGGATTTCAATTTTTTTAAGGTTTTTTCTTAGAAAAACGGAAAAAAGTCTTAACTTCAAGGTGAGCCTCAGTGCTGTTGAGATTTTTTGAACTAGTGACTCATGGATTAGGGGATCCATATGATATTTCTGGGCACACCAAAAGGGGTCTCACTTGATTTTGTGGGGTTTTGAGCTTCCCATTACCTGTTTTCTCCCTCATATTCCAAGCCTTTATTTGTGTTTTATCTTCTACTACAGACTTGTGGTGGTTGTTGGGGGCCACAGTTGGTATTTGTGTGGTAAGAGTTGTTTGTAGAGAAGACAGCAATCTTCGACAGGGAGAGAAATTTGTGGCATTGTATTTCTCCACTCTTCAATCACTATGGGAGGAGACCATCATCTTGTGGCACTTGAGTGGAGAGATTCCTTTAATGGAGAGCAGTATAGGAAGTGCAATGAGAAGCTTAGGATCTTTGAATTCGTGACTGGGCTGAATTTGGAATATGCTTTTACGCATCAACATATTCTTAGTAACAATGGTGTCACACTTTCATCTGCTTATTCTTTGATTCAATGTGAAGAGAGTAGAAGGGCGGCTATGATGCAGTCTCTTCCCATTGAACATCCAGCCATGGTGGTGTCATCTATGCCCAAGTCTAGTAACAGTTCAAAGGGGGCTCAGATAACTGAAGGTGATGAGATTGTGTGTGATTACTGTAAGAGACCTAAACACACAAGGGATAGGTGTTGGAAATTACACCCAGAATTGAAGCCAGAAAATTTTGAGGCGGGAAAGGCAATGCTCATGTTGCCACTAGCTCCAAGAGTTCAGCTATAACTCAACCTGTGGCTCCTAGCCATGAGGAACATTAACTGTTTTCAGGGCTGAAATAGACAAATTTAGTCAGCTTCTTACAAGGTTAGAAAGCAACAACAAAACCAGTACCTCTGATCCCAACGTTCCTTCTATAGCTTTTTGCTAAGTCAGGTGATTCTTCCTTTGCCTATCATAACTCAGTTACTGCACCCACCACTTGGCTTATTGATTCAGGTGCCTCTGACCATATGACAGGTATGTCTACTTGTTTTCATTCTTATCATTTGTCCTCTAGAAGAGAGAAAATCACTCTAGTAGATGTATCCAATACCCTTATTTCTGGTATGGGAAATGTTAAGCTGAGTGATGATCTCTCGCTTAGCTTTGTTCTTCATGTTCTTTGACTTCATACAAATTTATTGTCTGTTAGCTCTCTTACAAAGTCTTTGAATTGTTGTGTAACGTTTTTCCTCTGATCATTGTCTTCCAAGATCTGAAAACTAGGAAGAAGATTGGAGTTAGGAGTGAAGATAATGGAGTCTACCTTTTGGAGTGTCTAACTGTCTATGTATGATCTCCAATGTGAAAACATGTCAACTTTCAAAGCAGTGTAGAACAATTTATCATCCAAGTAATACAAGAAGTTTTTTGTTATTCCATATTGTGCATATTGATGTGTGGGGGCTGTATTCTCTTGAAAGTATGGGAGGCTACAAATATTTTATACTATTTGTTGATGATTTTTCTAGATGCACTTGGTTGTATCTTCTCAAGAGTAGAGATGAAGTGTCATAAGTTATCAAAAATTTTCATAGCATGGTGAAAACTTAGTTTGAGAGGTGAATTCAAATTTTTAGATCAGACAATGCAAAGGAATATTTTGAAAAAGGCCTTGTTCAGTTTCTTGAGGAGAAGGGAGTTATTCACCAAAGTTCCTATGTTCAAACCCTTCAACAGAATGGGATTGCAAAAAGGAAAAATATACATGTGGTTGAAATTGCTCACAGTCTTCCCTCCAGAGTTCTCCAGTCAAAATCCCCACATCAGTTGTTGTATAGTGATTCTCTTGTCTTCAATCTTCCATTAAGAGTCTTTGGATCCATTTGTTTTGTTCATGACATGTACCCTTCTCGTGTCAAGTTTGACCCAAAAGCCACTAAATTTATTTTTCTTGGGTATTCTTGTACTCGGGAGGGTTACAAATGCTATGGTCCTTCTAGAAAATGTTTTGTATCTAAAGATGTCACCTTTTTTGAGTCCTAACCATTTTCCCTCCTAATGTTTCTCTTCAGGGGGAGAGTAGTAGTGAAGAGAGATAAAATTCTACCTCATCATCTTATCCTATCTCGATTTCAGTCCCGGTTCTATTTGTTGTTACCTCTATTCCTCCTAAGAAGCCTAGCTCTTTTCTTCCTCTTCATGGGAGTAAGTCACGACTAACTTTTAGGCAAACCTATGTTAGGAACAAACATCAAAGGGTGGTGAACTCAATGATCTTAATCATCCACTTCAGTTTGCTCCTGTGGATTCAAGTAACTTTCCTCCTCCTTTTGTTCCTACTTGTGATGATCCTATTACTATTTCTGACTTTACTCCTGATCCTATTGGGATCTGTAGTACCCATGTTGAAGGTGGTGAACTCAATGATCCTGATCTTCATATTGCCTTGCAAAAGCGACAAAGAAAGTGTACTCTACATTCTACTACCACTCCTTCTATGTGTCTTATGAGTCTCTATCTCCTTCATACTATACTTTTCTTGCAGCTTTGTCTTCTGCTTCCATTCCCAAGAATGTTTCAGAGGATGTTGCCCAACCATGTTGGAAAGAGGCTATGGATCAAGAAATGAAGGCTTTGGAAAGGAATCAAACCTAGTAGTTAGTTGAGCTCCCTCAAGGAAAGGAGCCAATTGGGTGTAAGTGGATATAAATAGCAAAATATAATGTTGATGGCACTATTGAGAGGTATAAAGCCCATCTTGTAGCTAAGGGATATACCCTTATGGCATTGATTATCTCGAGACTTCTGCTCCAACTACCAAGATGAACACTGCTTGGGTTTTGATATCTCTTGCTGCTCACTTCTCTTGGCCACTATATCAGATTGATGTTAAGAATGCTTTTTTGAATGGTGATTTGCAAGAGGAGGTGTATATCGACCTTCCTCCTAGTGTTGTTATACTTGGAAGTGAAGGCAAGGTTTGTAAGCTTCAAAAATCTATCTATTGCCTGAAACAATCTCCTCGAGTATGGTTTGACCAATTCATAAGTGTTCTTTTGAGAGTTGGATCCTCTTAATCCTATGTTGATCATAATCATTACATCAAGAGAAATAGGGATTTGGTGACTGTCTTGATTGTGTATGTGGATAACATTGTTATCATTGGAAATGACAAACTTGAAATATAGCAACTAAAGCATTTTTTGTACACTGAATTTGTGCTTAAAGATCTTGGAGGCCTCATGTATTTCCTTGGGATTTGAAATTGCAAGATCAAAAAGGGGTATCTTTATATCTCAAATGAAATACATTGTAGATCTACTACAAGAAACAAGCAAACTTGGTGCTAAACTTGTAGACACTCCTATAGATCCAAACTACAAAATTAATGGAACTAATGGTGATATTTTACCTGATAAGGGTATGTACCAATGCCTACTTGGAAAGTTACTCTATCTTTGTTTGACTCGTACTGACATATCCTATGCTATCAGTGTAGTTAGACAATACATGCATTAGCCCTATCTTCCTCATCTTGTAGCAATTGAGAGAAACCTATGTTACTTGAAGGGCACTCTTGGTAAGGGAATTCTATATAGTCCTCATGGTCACCTCAAGATGGAGACTTACACTAGTGTTGATTGGGCTGGATCTATTGATGACAAAAGATCAACATCCAGGTACTGTACATTTGGTGAAGGTAATATTGTCTCTTGGATAAGCAAAAATTAATCAGTTGTGGCAAGATAAAGTGTTGAAGTTGAATACAGGGCATTGGCACATGGGGTCTCTAAGTGGCTTTGGCTAAGGAGTCCCTTACTAGGTTGCATTTGTGGCATGCTAGGCTAGGTCAGTTGTGGCAAGATCAGCCCTGCATATATCTTGATTCAGTGGTAGCAACAATCAGGAGTCTCTTACTAGGTTGCATTTGTGGCATACTAAGCTAGGTCACATGTCTTTTTCTCTATTAAAAGTGTTGTTTTCAGAGCTATTTTAGTATGTTTCAAGTTAGAGTCTTTTTTGTGAGATCTGTCAAATGTCAAAACAATGTAGAACTACATATCCAATTTCAGATAGTGAAATTTATGTTCCTTTTGTTTTGGCTCACTCTGATGTTTGGGGCCCTTCACCCTTGGTTTCTATGGATGGCTATCATTATTTTATTAGTTTTATCGATCACTATTCATGATGCATTTGGATATTATTTGTTGAAAAGTCGTGTTGATGTACCATAGACAACAATTATCTTCTATAAGATGATTGAAACACAATTTGGTAAAAGAACCAAGCAGTTTCATCTGACAATGTGGCTGAATATTTTAAAGGTTCCTTGAATATCTTCTTAGAAGAAGAAGGTGCGCTTCATTAGTCTTCATGTGCTCATACTCCCCAAAAGAATGGGGTTGTTGAGAGAAAGAATAGAGACCTTTTGGAAAATGCAAGGACATTATTATTTCAGCAAGAAGTATTGGTCTCAAGTGGTTCTTATAGCTCCATAATTTATAAATAGGATGACATCTAGGGTGTTGGGTATGAAAACTCCTTTCTTTATTTTGTGTCCTACCCAAAATGACTTTTCTTTGCCTCCCTAAGTGTTTGGGTGTGTTTATTATATCCATGTCAAGGATCCATCACAAACTAAATTGGATCCTAGGACTATTCGAGGTGTCTTTCTTGGTTATTCTCCTACATAGAAGGGGTACAAGTGTTATGATCCTATTTCTGGCGAAAGATTTATAACCAAGGATGTTGTCTTCCATGAGTCTCAATCTTATTTTCAGCTTGTAATCAATCGTGGAATGATCAAGAGAGGAGAGAGGAAAGAAGAAGAAGAGAGAGGGAGAGAAATAGAAAAATCGAATTGGGTTAGTGGCTGCACCCACTTCACCCTAATATATTAACAATAACAATAATTACAGAGTAGTCCCTTGAAATAAGACTAATTACAAAAAAGCCCTAGCGCCATGAATATATATAAAAACACCCTTGACAACACAGCCCTCCAAAAATTCTCATCAGGGGAAGAAAGTGGGGTGGAAGAGAATTCTTCTTCTCCTTCATTCTTTGTGCCACCTCTTGTGTCTTCTTCTAGCTTTCCACCTTCTACCCTTAGCCCTTCTAGATCAGGTACTTGCCCAGATGAACCTAATGGGACTACTCCTACTAATGATTTTGATGGAGATGATGCAGGGAATAGTGACACTAATCTCAATCAACAGAAGGAGCTGAAAATTTTCTATAGGAAAAGAAAAAGGAATCCTTCAGGTTGTGATGGTGACCAATCAGATTCCAATCAATCTGATCCTATTGATCCTGTTAATCCTAGTTCTGGTATTTCTTCTTCGACTTCTGATTTGGACCTTCCCATTGCACTTTGTAAACTTGTTCGTTCTTGCAGTACTAGACATCCAATTTCCAAATATATTTCCTACTCCAATTTGACTCCTCGTTATTACTCCTTTGTCTTTTCTCTTTCTTCTATTTTTTTTCCTTCCAGATACTCTAAAGCTATAGATGATCCTAAATGGAGAGAGGCAATGAATGAAGAAATGAAGGCCTTGATGAAAGCCAAAAGATGGGAGTTAGTAGATCTACCAAAAGGAAAGAGTATTGTGGGATGTCAATGGGTCTCTATTATGAAGCCTAGAGCAGATGGTATGGTGAAAAGGTATAAAGCCCGACTGGTAGAAAAAGGGTTTACATAGAAAGAAAGAATTGACTACAAGGAGATTTTTGCCCTAGTTGCAAAGTTGAATGTTGCACGTGTCCTATTATCTCCAGCAGAAAATTACTCTTGGGAATTAAACCAATTAGATGTAAAAAATGCATTCTTAAATGGGGACCTACATGAGAAAGTCTTCATGAATCCTCCTCCAAGTAATGACTTCCAAGGGAAAGTATGCAGACTAAAGAAGGCTTTGTATGGGCTAAAGCAGTCTCGTTGTGCCTGGTTTGAAAGGATTTGTGGAGCCATGAAGAATGTGGGGCAAATTCAAAGTAGTGCTAATCATACATTATTTATAAAGAGGCAAGGCAAAAATCTTACTGCCCCCATAGCGTATGTGGATGACATGGTCATCACCATAGTTTTCAAGGCGCCAAGGCGAGGCTAGGTGACAGGGGGGCGCCTAGGCGTCGCCTAGGCGATGGAAGTAAAACCCTAGATCCTAGGGTAGTTCCCTAGGTTCCATAACCATCTTTCCTAAATAATTATTCATAATTTTCATAAGAAAAGTATAAATTTCATGTTTAAATCTAGAAAATCAACATTTTATTAGAAGAAAAACAACAAAGTAAAGAAAATTCAAAAAATATAGGGGCTGAACCCCTACTTTTGTTGTAGGAAAGAAGAAAAGAAAAGATGGAAGAAGAAGAAGAAGACGTGGAAGAAGAAAATGTGTTGATTAGACAAAATTTTTAAGTTCTTCCCTTGCTTATAGGTTCAGGTTTTGAAATTTTTGAGGGTTCAATCAAGGATCAAAATTTCGATACGATACGCCCTGTATCGGGTGTATTGTATTGTATCTTTGGGGTCCCGATACCTATTTACAGGTGTTTTCAGGGACCCATTTTTTAAATAATATATATATATATATTTAAAAATGAAATTGAAAACCAAAGAAATAAAAAAAAAAAAATAGGGGGAGTATCGTTATAAGTACCGATACACCTCTGCCAATACACAGAGGTGTATTGATACTGTGAACCATGGGTTCAATATAGCAGTTAGCAATGTTTGCATTGATTAAACCCTAACAAAATAAGAAAATAATAAAAAGAAATTAGTATGTTAGGAGAAGTATGTCCTGGATTGCTGAGGGAAATTGGTATGATGGAGAGCAAATCATCCGGTACTATGGTGGAACAAAGTCATGGTTTGTTGGAATTTGAGGGCGAGGATTATGCAGATAAAGAATGATACCAAAAGCTAGTAGGAAAACTAATTTATTTGTCTCTTACTAGGCCAAATATAGCTTATGCAGTTCATATGGTGACCCAATTTATGCATGCACCGAAGGTTCCACACATGAAAGCTGTTGAGAGAATTCGCAAATACTTAAAAACTTGTCTAAGAAAGGGAACTTTGTTCAAGAAGCATAACAAACTTAAAATTGAACCATTTACCAACCATAGTTGTCAAGGCATCGCCTAGGCACCCACCTAGGCGACTAGGCACCCTTGGCTGGGTGCTCGCCCAAATGCCTTGACTTTTAGCAGCTAGGCGCCCGCCTAGGCGACAAAAATGACAAGGTGGGTGCTTTTTATAATATCATCTATATTGTTGTGTCTTATTAATGTATGTGTTAAAAGATTTTATTATATATATATATACACACACACACACATATATATATATATCAATTATACTTTGTTTTAATGTTTTACTATTGAAATTTAAAAGATCAAAAGGTTTTGAGGAGAGAAAAAGAAAGAAAGAGAGAGAAAGAGAGAGAGAGGAAAGAAAGAATAAAATTATAAAGAGGTTCTTTTTTCTATTCTCTCTCTCTAATTAAATAAAACAGAAACTCCATTCTTGTTTTTTTTTTCTATTCTACTTTCCATCTTGAATATTTATCACATAAAATTAATAACTTTCTTTAGCTGCTAATTGATATGAAATTGCTTTGCTAAATACTTATTATATTATTTTATCTTTTAGATGTGATGATTTGCCACATTTTTAGAGGAAATTAAATGTTCTTATTAAAGAGAACTACTATTTTTTCTATTAATATACATGCTGAATGGTATATAAAACTAGGGAGCTATCCAAAAGTTAGTTTTTTATATTACAAAATTTTTATCGCCTAGACACCTTGAAAACTATGTTAACAATGTTGATTGGGTTCCATGGGTGATAGAAAGTCTACATCTGGCTATTGTACCTTTATTAGAGAAAACTTGGTTACTTTGAGGAATAAAAGGCAAAGTGTAGTCACAAGATCAAGTGTGAAGGCTGAGTATAGGGCAATGGCCCATGGTGTTGCAAAACTGTTGTGGCTTTGGATTCTACTTGTGAATTGAGAATAAAGGTTGATAGACCTCTGGAGCTATATTGTGATAACAAGGCTGCAATTAATATTGCAAATAATCTAGTACAGTATGACAAAACAAAACATATTGAGGTTGGCAGGCATTTTGTAAGGGAAAGAATTGTTTTGGGTGAATTGTGTATTCTCTACACACCTTCCAAGATGCAACTTGTAGACGTTCTCACTAAGGGCTGCCTTCGGTTAAATTTCATGGACTACTTGGCAAGCTGGGCATGATGGATATTTATGCTCAGCTTGAGGGGTTGTGTTGTAAAATCTGAACCCTTGTGTGGGCCTTATGTTTATGTTATAAGTTTCTTTCTGGACCTTAAGTTATTGGGCCTGTTTTATTTCTTTTATTTTTATCAGGCCATGTTACTAATCAGGTGTAAAGTTGTACTTTTACTCACTATTTGAATTTTAATATAAATCACATTCTTTAGGGCTGGCTGAGATTTAGCTTCTGTTCAACAACTCTTTTCTTCTTCTTTTTTTCCTCTCTTCTTCTCTCCAAATCTTCTGTGCAGGTTAGCAGACATGCTACACACATTTTCAGCATCTTGGCTCAATTATTCATAAAGAAGAAGAGACTTAAGAGAACTTTGCTAATAGATTGAGTGGACGGAAAGAAATGAATTTCAGGAATATTATGTAATTAGCAAAAGGCCATTATACTGGATATAGACGTTATTTTTGCCATGTTTTTGCACAAAGTGGCTACTCACAGACTCAAATTGGCATTCTCACACTTGTCAGTCAAAGATCTTCCCATTGCATCAAGAGATAGCCCCTATTATAATATTCAGCAATTAGCACGTACTATTAAAACTGAAGTGGAAGATTTCAACAAGTATCCTAAGAAATTACAATGGAAGGACCTAAAGGACAAAAGAGGGATATTTACAAGGTGTCAATATCAAACAAGAATGACCACATGCAGAAGGAGAAAAAAACTTCTCACAGGGCCTAGGGAGTATATGTATCAAGCAAAAAATATTTTGTACTCACTAACATTTAAAATCAGCATAATTGAACTCCCACCCTACCTCTAGTTCCTTGATACTGGAAGAAATTTTCAATCTCTTTCGACATTTCTCCCAAAAAGCAATTATGTACAAATTCCCCGCCTTCCAAATGCTCCAACAAATAGGAAAGGAAGATACTGAAGGATTTGACCTCTCTAATTACAATTCCTAGCTAACCAAGCCAATATAAACTCTGAAAAATCTCTAAGAATGACTGAGTTTGAAATACCTTCAATAAGTGGGACCATACCTTTTGTAACAGGTGGGAGTGACACAACAAGATGGATAACAGATTCTTCATGGCCTTTGCAGAGGAAACTTGTTAGGAATCATCATTTTTCTGGACATAAAGTGATCTACTATAAAGGTTTAATTTAGACAGTCTGTCCCCCCCCCCCCCACACACACACACAAAAAAAAAAGAAAAGAAAAACAAAAGAGACGTCTCGGAGGGAATAAGATGGATCTTTAGGCCAATGTTCCATCACTCCCATCAAATGCTTTAAGGACTTGACCTACAAAAGGCCGTGGGAAATTGCCAACGATGCAAAACAACAATCTCAGTTGAGTTTATGATGCTGCAACCTTCTACCATTACACTACAAGCATTGATTAAATAGAAAACAGCATACACATAAATCCTTCAAATCCTAATCAAATATCCTAAACCCATAAGGCCCAAACATCTACTGATTCAACAGGGAATTGAATAATGCACATTTTGAGAGAAAAGTAAAGATTAATTTACCGGTGGAAATGCAAGTAGGAGCAAATACCAATTATTCTGTGCTGGGTCCTTTTTGATCTTGGAAATAGAATGAAAATTTACAAATGGACAAGGACAAAGGGGAATGGAGGATCAGCGGAACGCCGCACAGAAAGACAAAATTGCCGGAAATGTTTTATTCGGTTCATTCATTCACCGGTAGTTGGTTGCCTAGGTTGTCGTTGGGTGACAGTTGGCACGCCCTGGTGTATTTAGCAGCTGCCAACAAAGATTTGCTCTGACGTAGGTTCAAAGGGAAACATGAGATAAAAATGGGCATGGTTTTTTTGCGTCTGTCACTTAGTTTTACAAGTTATGCATCAACTCCAACCATATTATTGACACACGGAAACAGGGATAAATGGATGATAGAATCGAGTTCAAAACTCGCGTCAGGCTTGGGAGCCCTCCTCGATGCAGGGGCGTAATATTGGTGGGTCCTTCAAACACAACCCTGCCCCCACCCCACCCCACCACCACCACACACACACTAGGGGTGAGCAAAAAAACTGAAAAACCGAATTGATCGAAAAATCTGACCAAAATCAAACTGAAAAATCGGTTTTCGAATTGGTTGGTTTGTTTTCAGTTTGATTTTTTCATAATATCAAAGGTACCGGTTTGGTTAATCAATATAGAAAACCGGTAGTTAACTGAACCGACCGGTATACATATATTTCTATATATTTTATATATATTTATATATATTATATTTTTTATATTTTTTATATACTATAAATTAATAAATATGCATTATATATATAAATATATATTTATAATTTATGATATATTATTTATTTATTAAAATATAATATTTTATATATATTTATAATTTTTTATTATATTTTTATAATATATATTGTAAAAAATAAAAACCGATGAACCAAACCGACGGTTAACTGAATCGGTCAATCGGTTAATCGATAGATTTTGGTTCGGTTTCGGTTACCGATTTTCCAAAAACCGGTACTATCGGTTCAGTTACAAAATGAGCCCCACGGTTCGGTTAACCCCTACCCCACCCCACACACACACAAAAAAAAAGGGAAATGCCACTTTAGCACCCTGAATTTTGGGGTAGTATCAATATAGTACCTGAACTTTCGAATGTGTCTTTGCAGTACCTAAACTTTCAAAAAGTGTCAAGTTGGTTTCCTACCATTAATCGACCATCAGTTATTTGTTGAAATTGTTAAAACTATCCTTCAAAGAAGACACTGTTCAATATCTTCTACTTTGAGGCTGAACTAGTTGAGGTGTTTGAGATTCTAGACTAATGAGGTCATTGTCTTCTACCTTTAGATCTGAAACATATTCTTGTCTAGTTATTTCTTTGCTTTCAGTTATTGTTTCTCTCTATCATATTTCATGTTTTTTCTCTCTTTTTCTTTGAAGACAACTGTTTAATTTCAAGGTAGAAGACAATGAACAATGTCTTCTTTTGAAGGGTAGTTTTGACATTTTCAACAGATAACTAACAATCGGTTAACAGCAAGGACCAAGTTGACACTTCTTGGAAGTTTAGGTACTGCAGTGACACGTTTGAAAGTTCGGGTACTAACTTGACACTACCTCTAAAGTTTATGGTACTAAAGTGGAATTTTCCCAAAAAAACTTGAAGGATTACTCTATGACACTCTTCAACTCCCAAAATTAAAAAAAAAATGTTTATTTTTAAAAAAATCTATAATAGGCCCAAACCTTTTCGGTCATTTTTCTCTAAACCCTACCTCTTTACTTCCTATCTCATTTTTTTATTTAACCGAATGTTTTAAAAAACAACTCGGAGGTCGAGCCATTTATTTCTTCGGGTTGTGAGTCACCAGTTTGACTAGTCGATGAGTCAAATGGTTCAGACTGTGCCATGTCAACGCATATATATATATATATATATATATATGTATGTATGTATATATGTATATATGTATACATGTATGTATAAATATATAATTTAGCCATAAATAAATGTATAAATAAGTTTTATATGTATTATTTTATATTTAATTTATGTTTTTGAATTCAATTTTTAATTTTTCATTTATAAAAAGATATTAAATTTTTCAATTTGAGGCCAAAAGGGGTTTTTTCGTAAAAAATAGTGGGGCAAGGTGCCTACGGGACCTTGGGATGCATAGATCTCGAAAAGTTACCTAAAATCGAAAAAAAAATCACCCCAATCGAACATTGGAGTGCAAAGTTATGGCCTTCAAAAGTTTTGCATGCATTGAGTATGCAACCCACGACACAATCACCCTGTCGAATGGGTCAATGGTCGAACCGGCCAGGTCGAGCGGTTCTTGACCAAGTCAACAGTTTTTGACCATCTAACAGGCCTTGACTCAACGAGACCTAGAATTTTAGCCAAGTGACGGTTCGAACGGTTCAATTGGCTAGGTCAACCCGCACAGGTGGGTTCAACTCTTTAGTAGCCATTGTTTAGTTATCAAAGAAAAAGTAGTTGTTTGTTAATGAAGTGCTCTTGTCATGCTTCTAATTTTAGGGTAAATTACTGAAATATTGATGTTTATTACCGTTCTTGAAACCTCCGCTAAAGTTGGTAATTGCATCCTTTGAACTTTTTGACAAAGTTGCAAGTAGGCCCCTTTAATAGAATCCTCTAACAAGAGGCAGAAAATGTCCAAAATATCCATCAATTACTATTGAGGTTGGTTTCTATAGTAAAAACAATACAAACTTTATGCACAACAAGAAAGAGAGAGTTTAAAGTTGCAGTTTTACCATTGAGCGATTGATATGAAGGGAAAATTTGGAAAATAAATCAATTTTGGAAAAGAGATTGAAAGGGCTTGGGGTAGCAATAAATATGAAGGAAATTTTTGAAAAATAAACATTTTTGTCAAAAGTAACTAAATGGGTATTTTGAACATTTTTGTTCCTCTTGTTAAAGGATTCTAACAAAAGGAGTTTATATGCAATTATGTCAAAAAGTTCAAGGGAAGTCATTGCAATTATCAAACTTCAAGGGAGGTTTCAGTAATGATGAAAAACTTTGAGGAGGATTTTAACAATTTATCCAAGCTATTTCTTATTTGGTTGCATTGGTTCAAGGAAAAGTACTTCTCTTGCTTTGGCTTTACTGATTGTTGAGAAAACAATATGGGAAAATGTTCCTAATATACGGTGGGATGTGATGTGAGATTGGTGTGAGGTGCACTCTATAACAAACAAAACCCGATTCTTTTCACCTCTTTTGTCTTCTGTGGCATTTTAATAGCATATAAATGTCTTAAGCCAAAATAAACAATTGTATATACGGGGTTTGTTCACAATCATTGTTTTTAAAATCGGACGGATCGGACGGTTGGACCAGAAAAACCGGTCAGGTGACCGGTTTCGTTTCCCCCAAAACCGAATTTTCTCAAAAAACGTTGATTTTGGTTAGCAAACTGCTGAATCGAGAGGTTAATTGTTCGAACGGTTTTAACTATTTTTTAATTTTTTGTCAGAACGGACCAACTGTTTAAGTCAAATGATCAGACCATTCAACCTAGTAACTAGACCCGTGACCGGTTCGATCTCCGGGTCAGTTTTAAAAACCATGTGCACAACTCTACATCTTTCCCAACTTTCAAGGTAAAAATGTTTACAATACCAAGATACAGCCTAAATTCAATATAAATGGATTTCGATTTTCTAATATAAGGTTCAGTTAGAGCCACATCAGCAGTTTTTCTCTCTTCAATTTCACATTTCTAAAAATTTGTCAATGCAATGAGTTTTAACATCAAATGTCTCATTCGCCCTACAATGTGAAAAATTGTATGTTCATTAAAATTTATCTAAGCAATTAAGCCCCCTCTATCTCCTTAAAATCTTTGCTCAATCCTTTCTTCCTCAATTACCATTAATTGGCAATATTAGGCATTTTTACTAGAGTAGGGATTTATTTGGGTAAATTGCAGATAGGTACTTGTACTGTACTTTGGGGGAATCTCACTTTGAGCCCTTAATTTTTAAATGTGATACTTCATTACTTGAATTTCCAAAAATATACATTTAAGTTGATTCTACTAAACTAATGTTACATTGAGGGGTAAAATTATAAAAAAAAGCTCATGTTTTGACTATCATTTTTCATTGTTCAATCTTTTCTTCTACCTTTGGAGTTTGGACTTCAGACAAAAACCAGCGGCTACAAAGTAAGCTCACCTCGATATGTTCATTGGGATAGTCTCACTTTTAGATGCTTACTTTGCTGCCACTAGTTTGCATCCGAAGTCTAAAGATGAATAGTGAAAGAGAGAAAATGGGTGATGCTGCTCAATCCGAGGTGGTGCACGAACTAAGGAGAGCCATTAGATCGTCCTTGCTAATAGGGTGAGGCCGAGGTAGAAGGACGGAACCACACTTCAAGACCTATGATCAAGAAAGAGGTCAGAGGCCCGAGGAGTTATCCTCGGGTAGGTACTCCGACGCTCAAGTCAGTAAGAGGTGGTGGATGGTCGAGCCAAGCAATAAGGGTGTTGGTCCAAGCAGAGTAATAGTATGGGTGTCAGAAGTTGGAATCCCTTACCTTGAGTGGGGGATGCCTCTTTATAGCCGAAGATCCGTATCCTGGTCGGATTGGGCTTCCGAGGTCGTTGGGATGAGGCTAACCGCCGAGGTCTTCGGGGTAGAGTCCAATTTCTCGGCGGAGTTGTCTTCCTCTCTCCTCTTATCTGTAGTTGTGTTTATTTGCGTGACGTGTAGCTGACATGACTGAGAGGATAAGATGGGGAGCTCACAGTAGTAGCGTAGCTTGGTCGAGCTATGCCGACGTGGCCGGGTAGGCCAAGCGATGACTGGGCAACCACGTGTCTCCCCAGTTCCTCAATCGAGGAATGAAGTGTTCCCACTTTATTCCTCGGATGAGGAACTTCTAAGTTGAAGTCTGGTTGAGTGTCTGGTCCACTTGGTGTTACTCGGTGCATGCCATGATTTGGGATCTAGGCAATATGCAGTGTGGCCGAGGAGTCCTTCAATCGTCGGCTGCAGAACTCCCAGAATTCTAACTTCAGAATCCAAAAACCACTCCCCAGAAGGGGGTGTTCAGCCGAGGTTTTGTGCGGTGACGTACATAGCCCGGATCCAAGCACCGAGGTCTTGAGTTGAGCTTTGTCTGAGTCTCTTTGATGCTCGATAGCGCCGTGCTGAGGAAGGTTTTTAAGCTTCATTTGAGTCTCCCTGATGCTCGGTAGTGTTGTGTCGAGAAAGGGGCTGAGCTTCGAGGTCTGGGTCTCTGATGTCTGGTCGTGCAGTGCCGAGCTCCGAGGTCTGGACCTCTCTAATGCTCGGCAATGTTGTGACGAGGAAGGTGCCGGGCTCCGAGGTTGGGGCCTCTCTAATGCCCGGTGGCGCTGTGCCGAGGAAGGGGCCAAGCTCCGAGGTCTGGGCCTATCTGATGCTTGGCAATGTTGTGACGAGCAAGGGCTTTCTGTTCTTCGGCTGAGGAACTTGCTCTTTAAATTTTCAGAATCCGAACACCACTCCCCCAGTTCCAAAGTCGAAGAGTGGAGTGCCCGGCTGAGGCACAACGCGGCCTTCTTTGGTCGACGTTTTCTGTTGGGCGTCCTGAGGACACCCGAGAGGCTGATTAGACCGGTGGTCCTGGGCGGACCTTAGACATCCGCGGCGTTGGTTGGACCGGCACTTCAAAGCGGACCAGGGTAATTAATGTCCTTACAGTTACTTGTCAAGATCATCGCTTCAGTTCCCGAGGCCTTGCGTGTGCGGTGACAGTCACGTCGATTGGTCTTCCCGAGCTTTGTCAGAGCAGCACGTGATCCCCACCGTTGATCTACCCTCGATTCGTGCTCCTAGGGATTATAAGAAGGGGTGGACAGGCATTTCTCCTTTGCCATTTGCAAGAGGGATTGCTTAGATAGCTCAGCAAAGGGTTGTCGCGTTGCTTGGCTTTCGTCTTTTGGTTCCACAGGTTGAAGTCCGGTAAGATGTCTTCCCCATCTTCTCGTTCCTCTTCTTCCTCTTTTGGTTCCTCTTTGAGTTCTAGTGGCTCTGGTTATGAGTCTGAGGTCGGGCATTTTGAGGCTGCTGAGGTTGGGCCCTCTAGGATAGAAGTAGAGTGTCCCCTGTGGGCTTGTTGCTAGTTTGGGAACACCCCCTGCATTTTGACACCTGGAGATATGGCTCGGATCCGAGCTATGTACAACATCCCAGAGGAGTTCGGGATGAGGTGTCCGCAGCCTAGTGAAATGCCAATAGATGCTCAGCCAGGCGAGGTATGCATGTACGAGAGTAGTTTGGAAGTCGGGCTGAGGTTTCCTCTGAACGAAGGAATCACCAGGGTGTTTGGATGGTACCGAGTATTGCTAGTGCAGCTAATGCGGAACTCCTTTAGATTTTTGTTCGGCCTTATGTCTTACTGTGCGGTCTGTGACATCGAGTTGACCCTGGGTATGGTGAGCTTCCTCCTTCAGTTGAAACACCACCAACAGGGCTACTACTATTTCTTGACTAGGAAGAATGTCAAGCTGTTGGTTGGGGCCCCCTCTTCTGTGAAGCATTGGAAGGAGACCTTCTTCTTCATGCATTGTCCCCGGGGGCCTCCCCTTCTTGGCTGTGCTGCAGCTGCTGAGGATGAAAGTGTTGCAATCTCAGTGGTCTATGCTCACCTAGGAGGATAGGTCGGCCCTGAGCATGACCGGTGAGGTAGACGTGGTGGCGTACACTTGTTCTGAATTGTTGATGCTCGCCGGGTTGATGTGCAGGGTGGTCGATCTGTCGTTTGTTGCTTCGGTTTACTTGTCGAATCCCCTTTTTCCTCCTCCTTTTTTATATCTCTTGCTGACTATTGCAATTCTATGGTGCAGGTGTGGAAATGGTGAGGGAGGAGGAAATTGTTCATAGGATGAAGGAGAACTGGCATAGGCAAAACTGGGCCGGTGCGCAACCACAAGTTCGGCCGGAGGTGGTTCTCCCGCCGTGGTCCTCTAATAGGGCATCTCGTCGCTAGAAAAGGGGGAAAAGGGTTCGGCAGTGGCACAATGACGATGCAACGCTGTGCAAGAGTACTCCACAAGTATCTGACAGATAAGGCCTATCACCTCTAAACATGTCAGACACGCTTTCACCGAACTTCACAGCCTATAAAAAGGTGGCTTGTCGCCCTCTAACGGTACAGTCACACTATCACTCTTACCCTCTATTTTTCTGCTCTGAATCCATGACTACCAACTCTCTTTCCATCAAATAGTTTGATATTAATTTGATCGTTGGAGCACCCTTGCCCGAGCCTTCCCCCGGGCTCTCTGATGTGTTATTCCCTTGCAGAATCAGCTTGCCAACCTCACAATTCATGCATCATCAACCAATATGCACAGACAAGCATATCAAATGTTTCAATACTTCATTGTTTTTTTAATTATTTCAGGGGGTTGGCTTGGCTTTAAGCTTGCCTACCGCTAAAAGTGGCCAAATTCCAAAACACCCCTTATTTTAAATTTCAGAAAACTACCGATATAATACACCTGATACAGAGCATATCATATCAAAATTTTGAACCTTGGTTAATTAGCCTATTCAAACCAGTTATCAGGTCAGCGGTTAACCATCCAGTCCAATCCCAATTCGCCAACATTGTGATAAACCAAAATCTGTTATTGGTGCAAGGTACAATAGGTTAATAATAAACCATAATAAGCATATAAAATAAAAAACCATCTTTTTATTACTGACTAGAGAATGACCCCATACTAAGTACGGGGCTAATATTTTTAATAATTTTTATTTTGTTTAAGCAAAAATGTCTAACTTTTTATTATTAAATCTTTATTTTTTAAATATTATTTGTATTGTAATATTTAGTTAATTAATTATTATTGTTATTATTAAGTATTTAACTGTAAAAATTTAAAGATTAATCAAAATGTACTATTTAATTGATTATTTATTTAAAAATTAATATTTTTTTAATTAGTAATGGTGATGATGGTTTTCTTATATTTTTATTAATAATTAATGTTTAATTACTGAGTATTGTTGTTATAATAATTTTTTAAATTACACTAAATTCTGGTAATTTACATAACTTTAATGCTCAATCAGTTTTTGAACCGTAAGGCTCTTAATTAAGATTAAAATTCAAATTTATTTGCAGCTGAAAGTAACCACTTTGGTTTACCAAAACAAAAAAACTAACCACTTTAACAATTTTTTAGGAGTGGATATTAAGATTAAAATTCAAATTTATTTGTGACTGAAAATAACCATTTTGACAATTTTAAGGCATTTATTACTGAATTAAAATCCTTCTGGCTTGCCCATAAGGGCCATAACAAAGCATTCCAAAAGGATAGGTCCTAATAACAAAATAGACAACTAAACACCATTGATTTATTGAATAAAGCCATCTGTAGGATATAGCTCTCCTTAGACCCCACCGCCCTTAGGTCAGCTTATGAATGGTTTTCATGTCTGCAGCTTCATGGAGGGTCCCTTTTTCAACATGGTCCCACCATTTGAGCAAGAAATTGTCCACAACCAACCTAAACCAAGGGGATAACTTGAGACCCTCTTCGCCTGCATCTGCCTTTCTCACCAGCTCTTTCAACTGATTCCGATTAACATACTTAACATCAGCGACTTCATCAGGGTTTGGCTGCACATTGACATCTCTAACGATGAAGAGTAGGTAATCCACTGCAAGTTAAACAAGAAATTAAAAAAACAGTTCCAGTTAAAATTTGTACATAATGGTTGTACCAGGAAAAAAAATGGGATTGAGATAAAGTTGATATCATTACATTCATGCTCTCCCCACTTTCCATCAGAAGGAGCCTTGTATAGAATTCGACCAAGGGGGGTGAATTGATCCACTGGTACATCTTCAGCAGGAATACCCAGTTCATCAAAAAGTTTCCTTTGTGCAGCATTCCTCACCCCTGTTCCGGAAACAGTAACCAAACCTACTTAAAAAATAACTCCAAAACCAAATGCCATAGCATAAATTCTGGGAGGCAAATATATACCAAGATAATTCTCTTCAATAAGCTCAGATTCGCGATAAAGTGGATGACTGCAGCAGGTGTTTGTCCACACAAGAGGGAATGTTACCTTTGTCGCTGACCGTTGCTGTGAATGAAAAAAGAGTGGAATATATCACTAAAGATCCTATCAAATATATCGATCTGTGCTTTTGCGTCTGTCTGCACAGTGTGTATATCTTTGTGGGTGGGAAAAGTTCTTTTTCTTTTTTTAGGCAAGTTGTAAACATGCATTTGGCATAAACAATTCAAGATGACCAAAGCAGACGATCTAACATGTAAATATGGAGACATTTCTTGATTTGTAACTAAAAAGCTCTGTTTGTTTGCATTGCAATTTCATTTGCATTAGAAAAAAATACAAATGCTTGAGAGTGCAAATGAAAAAAATACAAATTTAAATCCACTTTTGCTTCAGATTTTATTTTACCTCTATTTGCTGAAATAGAGCTGTCGAACGAGAGAAGAAGAAGAAGAAGAAGATATGAGATGGGCGGCAGAATCAGTTCTCAGCCAGCCCTAATCTATTATATATAACAACATTACATAATGTTACATAAATAGACCAGAATGCCCCTGATTAGTGGAGGAACACCTAGTCAAATAAACACTAAATAAGATTAGGCCCAATAACCAATGACTTAAGACCCAACAAAGATAAACATACAAATTAAGACAGCCGAACCAACACTCCCCCTCAAGCTAAGCATGGATGTCAATCATGCTTAGCTTGCCAAGTAAGTCCAAGAATTTCACTGTAGCTAGCCCTTTAGTCAGAACATCTGCAATCTGCATCTCGGAGGGAGTATAA